CCCCCACCCCCGCCAACATCCACCCCTCCACACATCAGAGGAGCCTGAGACTCCAATAGGGACACTCTGGTCCAAAGGCGGCAAGCCACCAACTCTACAACCAGGCTGCGGGTCTGTCACCACATGTGGTTTCCAAACTTCCTCCGCGTCCAATTCTGGTTCTTCCTTAATTCCACAGCACTCACTGGACTCCCGCCCCGCCCCGCGGACCACGGGCCCTCGGGGAAGTGAGAGGGCTTAGGACAGGCAGACTTCCCAGCTCTCTCCAGCACGCAGGAGGGTGCGGCTGCCACTGCCCCAGTCACCAGCCCTTAGGACGCCCAGGGCAAGGAGCGCTCCTTAACCCCGCGAGACCTACTGCCAGGTTTTCGCTGGGAATTCGGCTGAGTTTCGACAAGGGTGGGGCCCTGGGCGAAGGAGGGTGGCGATGGCGTCTCCTGGTCGGCAACTTGCCAGGAGCGTGGGCGACCCAGCGCGCCCCGACCCCAGCAGTTCCCAGAGCTTGGGGAGGCCCCGCCCGGCCACCTCCCTGCTGCTCTCGGATCTCGGGTTGCTTGAGCGTCCAGGGCCGCCCATTGCCAGCCAGGGGCCCCAGGTCCACAGCTGGGGTTGCCAGAGCCCCGGGACTGCCGGGCGCAGAGCGCGGGGTTCCACCTGGCTGGGATCGCGCAGCCAGGTGCCTGGGCTCCGGTCGGGCGGTCCCTGGCACGCCCCTGGCTCTGACCTTGACTGAGAGCGGCGCTTGGGACGCCTGGTGGTTGCGGTCGCGCTGCCAGGCGCGGCGGGTCTAGTGGTCCTAAACATTTCACAATTGCGCTACAGAACTGTTGAACTGTTAAGAACCACTGAACCCGGCGCGCGAGTCCGCTGCACCCTCGGCTCGACGCCCTGAGGAGAGAGAAACCCCGCTGCCCTGGGGACCGCCGGCGTCGTCCGGGAATTCCAAGGTGCCCAGCTCCTGCCCCCGGGTCGCCTCTCGCCGTGCACCCCGCTACCCGGCTGCAGTTCGAGTCTCCACGCCGTCGCGGACGCCCGGGGCACCCCAGACGCACCGACCCGCGCAGGGCAAGCGCAGACGCAGGGCCCAGCCCGCCAGCACCACGCCTCATCCGCGAGTCCCCGCCGACCCCAGCGTCCCCTAGTCCCGCAGGCCCCGCTTGGCCCGGCAGCTGCGCTCCGTGCGGCAGCGGCCAGCGCGGCGGCGGCTTTTATGCGGCGCGGCCGCCCTCCCCGGCGCCGGAATGCGCTCGCGCCGCGCTGGCCTGACCGGTTTTTCCAGGCGGGGCGGCTCTTGGGCCTGCGGGTCGCGCGGCGGGTCGCGCGGCAGGTCCACGGCCCGGGACCTGCTCGGCGCGCCCGCGCGGGGGTGGCCCTGACTCACCCGCCGCGCGGCCCCGCCCGGCGCCCCCGCCTCAGAGCTCAGCCTGGGCGCACCTGGCCTGAGGCTGGCCGGGGTGGGGGGGACATGCTCGCCATGTCGCCCGGACCCGGGCGCCCAGGCTCACTGGGGGGTCCACACTGGCGGTTGGTGGCTGGGGTGGGCGAGGACCGAGCCTCACCGGGTCTGCACTCTCGGCGGGCGGGCACCGGGGCTGGACACGCCCACCCCTCGCCGCTCACTTCAAAGCCAGCCTGGGGTGGGGGCAAAGAGAAAGTGAAACCGGCGCGGGCGGAGGAGGGCAGGTTTCTGGCTGCGGGACACTCGCCTCCTTGGGGGAGGGGAAGGGGCAGCCCCAACACCACCTCACCAGGCGCCGCAGCCCGCCTTTCCCGGTACCACCCCTCCACGCGCGCAGCGGGAGCCGGCACCGTGCCCTCAAAGCGAGAGCCCAGCGTGCCGTGGCAACCTGGAGGCGCCCTGCGCCCTGCGGACTGGAGGTGCTGGAGCCCACGGGGAGCTCCCAAGAACTCTGAACAGAGTAGGGACTGGAGCCAGTGGGGAGGGCTCTAGGTGCCCTCCTCAAGCTCCTGCCCCCCAGTCGGGAGCCCCTGGTGGGCAGCAGAGGTGGTTATGATTCATTCAAGTGCAGGGAACTAATCACTCAGGGTTACCCCAGGGGAGACCCACGTTCTCTGCTCAGGAGCCACAGCTTGGACCTAGGTCAGGGCCAGCCGTGAAGCTGCGAGGGAGTGGCTGGGCAGTTTCGCCTGTGCGGCGTGGAGTCTACCTATTGCAAAACGCCCTGGAGAGTGAACAGTGAGGTTTTATTTTATTCATTTTGCAGTTGGGAAAACTGAGAATCAGAGAAGAGCAGTGACTTCTCCGATTGGCCAGCTCCCATTGTAGAGAAGGGGCTGTGTCCTCCGCTGCTTGGTCTGTAGGGCTGAGTGGGACTGAGGTCAGAGGACTGACATGGGGGTGGGTAGTGGCCTATGACCAAGAAGAGGAGTTGAGGAAATACCACTCCCAGCTGCCTGTGCAGGAAGAACCCACCTCCTCTCCCTCAGTAGGGAGCCCTACAGCAGTCCCGTGGGGGGCAGAGGTGGGCTGTCCCCACTCAGCTAGGGTGGGTCCTGTCTCAGCGCCAAAGGGGTCCATTGTGGTGAGGTGACAAGTACAAGGCCCTGTGATTCCCTTGTAGCAGGAAATACCACGGAATGGCCAGAGGAGAACTGGGCAGCACACCAGAGAAATCTGGCTCTTCATGGGTCCTGGGGTGGGGTAGTCGTCCTGGGGGGGGCCTTAACTGTGGAGTCCAATCCTAGGTAGAAGATACTGGGAAAACAGACTGTGGGTTCTGTGAAAGGGAGATGTTCCCCAGAGATAACTCTGGGACCCAGAGGTTCTGGACGGGCTGTGGGAGCAGAAGCCTCCCCAGAGGAGATTACCAGGTGTGAGTAACGCGGCCCTCAGGGGCCTGGCCCTGGGCTCAGCCACCTCCCACGCGGCAGCAGAGCCTTGCCCACATCTGACCTGATCTCACACCTGTCCAGAGAGGAGCTGGGGCTAGGACAGGCCGATTCAGCCCAGCTCTGCCAGGTGCCCGGGCAGGGGCCCTGGGTGCAGGACTGCAGAGCTCTGTGACTCGGTCTCTTCATCTGTAAAAAGTAAAGTGACTCAGTGCCCTTCTCAGGGGCCCAGAAGGGAAGAGGAGCCAACACACAGCAGAATGTGAGCACTCCAAAGTGGCCGTCTGCCTGGCTCTTCCCAGTGCTCCCTGAGGGTGTGGGGCCCAGCAACGTGCTCCTGGAGCCCAAGCATGGCCCGCCCTTCTAAGGAACACACCCGTAGGGCCAGGCTGGCCTCTCCCCAGGGACCCCCAGGAGGTTTCTAGACAACGACCTACCACTTCCCACAGCTCTCCAGACCTAGCCCCATCCCGGGGCTGCGGGTCAAGCTGTGTCCCCACAGTGTGCAAGGGCCCAAGAATGCAGTTTGGCCTCCTCCGGGCCTTGTGGGGAGTCCTGCTTCCCTGCCCGGCTGCCGAAGCCCCCTTACCCTGTTGCCCTGAGAGTCTCTGTGGAACCCTGTCTGACCCACTTGGGGAGATGCCAGCTCAGCAGGGCTGTCCATGGACACCAGGGTTAGTGGGCGTTTCCCCACCAGCGGTTGCTCATCCCTGGCCCCAGTGGGCGTTCCACTCTGGCAGGTTGGCACCTGCTCTGGGAGGGTCCTGCCATGTGGGGTAACGTGAGCCACCTGTGGCTTTCACAATCTGGGGCTCTGCAGGCCAGGCCGAGAGAAGTGCTGAGTGTGTGTGGCCTAGAGCGATGGGCCTCCTGGTCCCCCAGGAGCAAAGCAGGGGCGCTCAGAAGCCACAGCTTGGACCCAGGTGCAAGAAGGCTGCCATGTGGGCATCAGGGTGGCTCAGCCATGTGACCCCAGGCTGGGCTCGCCCCCCCCTCGCTCCACAAGGCATTTGTCTGACTGTCCCTCCACGAACCCCACCCCCCACAGGTCCCAGCCCACCAGTGGCCACAGGGCTCCCGGCTCTAAAGCTCAGGGGCATCCCTGTGCCCCGACGTCTTCGTAGGACAGGGGCACACCACAAGGGGCCAGAAGGCTTGGCTTCCTCTCTGGAAGTGGTCCTGCTCCCAGCACGGCTGGTCTGTCACCTGGACCCAGGCCTAGCTCAAGCCAGGCTCCCAGGCTGCTGCCTGCTGGGAGAGGCAGGGGGGGCCTGGGTGAGGGATGGGGTGCAGGTGCCCATGGCAGGGCGGCCCCCTGCCCAGAGAGTGTGGCTTTCCGAGGCTGGTGGGCAGCCACATGTCCCATCGGGGACCTGGTTGAGGGTGAAATCAGGTGTTTGGACCCCAGGAAGTTCTTGGTCCAAATGTTACATTGTCCAGCAGGGACAGAGCCTGCCCCGGGCCCAGCGCCCCAGCGTGAGTGAATCACATACAGCCCCTGACCTTCCTTGCTGGGCATGAGAAGCTGCCCCTGGCCTGGGTACCTCTCTGCCTCATGCCCACGCGGATTCCCACCTGTCTTTCCATCTGCCTGGCCCTGGGCTAGGGGATATGGGGCAAAGGTGTGACCCTGAGAGCTGGCCCTTGACACCTAGGTGGGCCTGGCAGGGCTGCTCCGCCCACACCTTGGGCTCCTCAGCCTGGTTGAAGGCCCTGGTGGCACTGCGGCTGGCAGCCACCTGGCTCCTCACCCAGACACTGGGCCTGGCCTTGCACAACCAGTCACATGAGCCCGGCAGGCCCGGGGGCTTCTAGCCCACACCCTGTTGAGCCCTGATGGGTGGGGGTGCGGGATGAGGGGGGACTGAACAGACTCAGGTGGGGCAGAGGCATGTGGAGTGGGGATAGGCCGGCACAGGTGCAGGGAGGCTGGGAAGATGGAGGCCCGGCCTCCCCTGTGCCACCTGGCAGGGTCAGCAGCCTTTCGGTGATTGGCTGTGCACCCCCTGCCTCCAGGGTGCAGACATCACACTCTGCCCCGGAGCCTAGGCCCAACCACACACAGCTCCACAGCTGCAGCCAAGACAGACCCATTGAGCTGGGCTTTGGGGACCTGAGGAAGCAACTGCCCCCACAGCACTTTATTGCCATTCTGCCCAACAGAGGCCTTTAGGCTTTGTCATGGAAAGAGATGGGGAAACAGAGGTGGCAGGAAAGGCTTCATCCCAGTCAGAGTGGGCAGGTGTGTGCCTGAAGTCTGTCCAGAAGGTCACAGTAGGCAGGAATGGCTTAGGGTTTATGCAGCAAGATAGCTTCAGGTTAGACCCCAGGCAGAACTTCCTGAAAATAGGAGGTCTCCTGAGAACATGTGGAGGCACAGGTAGTGTATAAGCCTTGTCTGTGGGGCCCAGCCTTCCCTGGGGGGTAGCAGGACCCTAGCCAGCCTGGAAACTCTCTAGGAGTGCCCCTTGATGGAGTGGGGATGGGGTGTCAGCTGGGACCTTGGCCTGAGAGACAGGGGGTAGCACCCAGTCCCGTGAGTCTCTAGGCCAGGATGGGCAGCAGGGTGTGTGGCTGGTGGTCTGGAACTGAGGCCTTCAGAGCTCCTGCAGGCTGGGTGGACAGAATGCCCAGCAGGGGTGGGCCTGGGTGGGCTCCTCCTTCCCCAGGCCACTCTCCGTGGCGGGAGGAGACTGCGGACCCCGACCTTGGCCGCCTCAGCCCCTGGACCCTGTCTGCAGCCTGCTCTGAGAAGCACTCCAGAGCCACAGGTGGAGGGAGCTGAGTGAGGGGACACCAGGGGGGGCGACTTACCGGACCCCGGGCCTGGGCACCAACCCCACCCTCCAGGCTCTGCAGGAGGGCGGTCACCTCTGGGTTGCCAGCTGCTTCCACCTGAGGGGGAGCATGGGGAGGGGCTGCCTCAGGACCCCACAAAACCTGAGAGCCCGCCAAGCAGGACGCCCTGGCCTCCCAGGACCCCAGTGTCCTCCCTGCTCATTCCCCAGCTCTGGGCCTGAGAGAGGCCTGGGGTGGGAGGGGTTGGCCCCACGGGCCCTTCACAGAGGACGCATGACCAACGGAGCCGGCATTCCTGCTCCTGGGAGCAGCAGAGGTGGGACAGTCAGGGTGGCCTTCCTGGAGGTGGCACCTCCAGAGAGGCCACCACGGGAGGCGGGGCACTCACCATGTGCAGGGCACTGCGCCCATCGTAGCCAGGCTGCCCCAGGTCAGCCCCTGCCTGACACCACACCCGCAGGCCTTCGCCGTCTGCCCGGGAGGCGAGCCTGGGGGCGGAGGGGAAGCGTCAGGGCGGCTGGGCACCCCGCCATCAGCCCACCCCTCCCGGGGCCCTGGGCACCTTAATAAAGCCAGCCCCAAACAGCTGACCCAGCAGCGCCCGGCCCTGGGGCAGAGTCGTGGGGGCCGGCTCGGCCTGGAGTCTGGTTTCGCCCAGTGGGTGTGACTGACTCAGGCCAAGGGCTCCCAGGGCACACGCACCGCGCACACGTGGGCACGCACACGCCCCGCCCGCGAGCGCCCTGCCAGTTCCACATTTCACAACAGCCCTGGTGGCTCGGTGGCTGGAGGAGGGAGACGCAGGAGGAGCCTGGGGGTGGTCCTAGGCCCCACCAGCTGCATGGGGGTCCTGGCAGGAAGGGGTGGGGCCCACGTGCCCTGGAGAAAGCTGGGGACACCTTGTACCTCACCAGTGTCCCCCACCCTGCAGGCCAGTGTGGGGCCAGCCCAGTCCATCTGCCCAGGTGAGCAGGTGGGTGGGCGGAGGCCCTCCTGAGGACCCGGGGACTCCACTCCTGACCAGGGAGCAGCAGCAGCAGGCCCCACAGTGGCACTGGGCAGTTTGGGTTTGAATCTCGCTGGACGGTCCCACTGGCCCTTCTTGGAGCTGTGCCCATGCCTCCCGCACAGGCCTCCCAGGAGAGGCGTCTGCTCCCTTGAGTGGGCCCCTGGCAGGCCAGGCTGGGCCCCCAGCCCCTCCAGCCACGCAGCTCCCCTGGACTCTCTGCCTCAGCTCCCCATCTGTCCCTGGAGCCAGTGTGGCCTGCCCAAGCCACCCAAAGCCAAGGCTGGCTCCAGTCCTCCCAGGGCCCAACCCCCAGCCCCTGTCCCCTGAGAAGGGCAGGCAGTGGGGGGGGGCGATCAGGGAACAGCACTGAAAACTTCAGGGGGCCCAAGGCTGGGGCTAGTGGGTCTSGCCACCCAGCTCCACATTGAGCACTGGGGACACTGGAGTCCAGAGAGACCTTGCTGGGGCCAAGATATGAGGGATGGAGGGCCCAGAGCCCCGGGATCCTCACCCGGCCTCCTGTCAGCCTGAAGTCCACAGTATCACCCACCCTCTGGGCCTGGGGCTCCCGATGCGCAGGGACTCAGACCCTGCACCCCWCCCCTCCCACCCTGTGCTCTGACCAGGACATCTCCTGCTTGTCTTCCCGTTCCTGCCGCACCCCTCCTGATCCCCGTGGGCACATGCACATTCACTGGACTGTCCTCCCAGCTGGGAGTGACCCCGTGATGTGCTCCAGTTCAGACACCTCTGCCCATCAGCCAGGCTGGTGCCCACAGGCCGGGGCACAGGTTCGCCCTCCTCAGCCCCCACACCTGGGCCCACCAGTCCCTCCCAGCAGGCCTGGTTTCCCCTCTCGGAGCCCTGCGCCTACTCCCCAAAACCTCATGAGCTCCAGCCGCTCTCACCTGCACAGCTCCGTCCCTGCGTCCTCCAGCTCCTGGGGAGACAGGCAGGCCCCAGCGGCCCGCAGCAACCCAGTGACGCCCCGGTGCCTGCCATGAGAGTGAGTGTGCTAGCTGTGGCCCTGGCCAGGCCCGTGCACCCCAGCCCGCTCCTCGACACCAGCAGCACCTCCAGGCCTGTGTGCAGGGGCCAGGGCGAGCCCCTGGGACCTTGGGCCTTGGCCAGCAAGGAAGGCTGCCCTGACCATTGGCCTTGGCTCGTGTGATGCCATCCTGAGGACCCACCTCCTCCGTCTCTCCTGGACACCTTCCCAGGACATCTGGGGTCTACAGGGCATGGTCAGCAGCCACCAAGTCAGAGGTCCAGACAGCCCTGGCTGAGCAGCACCTCTGTGCAGACCATGAGCCCCCATGAGACTCCACTGTCCTGTGGGGTCTGCCCTGGAGGTTGGGCTCCCACCCTGAGCCAGCCAGCCCACTGCACCCTGAATGTCTCACACGTYGATGGTGACCTGACTGCCCTGGCCAGGCCTGGGGCTGGTTCTGGGGAAACTGAGTCACTTGTGCCCCACATCTGCCCTTGGATGCAGGTCCTGCAGACCAGAGGGAATGGGACGGTGGCTGGAGCCCCGAAGCCAACTCCTCCAGTGGCAGCTCAGGGAGCTAAGCTGTGGGCCGGGAAAGGTTCCCACAGGCCACAGGAGGGGCCCAGCAAGGCCCAAGGCTGCAGCAAAGCACAAGGGGTGCCAGTTGCGAACTGTGCCCCTGGGGGTACACTCTAAATCACACAGCCACCCCAGTCTTAGGGAACCTTGGAGGAGTGTGGGGCCGTGCAGGACTGGGCGGAGGTCTTGGGGGAGCAGCAGGGAGTGTTGTGACAGCCAGGCGGGACCCAGTGAGCTCATCTCATCGCCACGCCACCCACCCACGCCCGAGGTCCATCTAGCCCAGATCACCGGAGCGTGGTGCAGAGATCACTGTCCACCTCCAAGGCCTGTTCTGGGAAAAGAGTTGGACCCCATCGGCCCTTCACAGGGGTGACATGCCCCACTAGGGGCTCTTGGCAGGGCAGGGCCCAGGTCTGGCCACCACAGTCTGGTGACCCTGGCCTCAGACACCTGCCTCCTCCTGAGGCAGGTGAACCCGCCCCCAGCTCCCCTGGGCTGCAGGCCACAGGCCTCCTGGGAGAAACCCCCGGGGAGGCAGGTCTGCAGGGTGCAGGTGGGCACAGACAAGCTGTCAGGCAGGTCTGTCCAACCGTGTGAGTAAGCCAAGTCGCCTTTGCTGGGAGCCACGGCGGGCGGGGTCCTGCCAGCCCGCAGCCTCACGTGGGCTCTCAGGACACATCAGCCCTGCACCAGTGGTGCTCCACGCTGTGGGCACAGACACCAGCGTGGCCACATGGTATGGCCGGAGGACCCCTGCCCTCGGGCGTTATCTCCCCTCCCTCCCCTCCATTTGTGGCTGGGTCTTGAGACCACCACATGCCCACTCCTGGCAACTCTCAGGGTCAGGCCTGGACTACTGGGACCAAGGGCAAAACTGAGAGGTGGGCACAAGGTAGGCAGAACCTGGCAGAGCTTGTCCCCACACTCTGGGGGCTTTCCATTCCTGCAGGGAAGATCGGGGTCGTCTCCTGCACCTGCAGGCTGAACCTCCCAGGCACCAGGCTGGGGCAGCCCCACATCGCTCTCCTCTTGCCCTGGCCACCTGGAGAGCACCTGTGAGTCCCCTTGTGCAGCCAGTGGCGTCCCCTTTTCTAGGCAGCGTCAGCCTTCCTGGGTGTGCTGGCTCAGCTGGGAGCTTGCCTCTGCCACGAAGCCCTCCGGGATGGTCCTGCCAAGCCTGGCTTCCCTCTGGCCCTGGTCACACCCCACACTGCCCTTGCTCACACCAAAGAAGTGTCCTCATCCGGCGCCATTCCCCCGTGCCCACTGCAGTGCCCAGAACCCCAGGTACCTGCCCCTCACAGCCAGCAGCAGAGGGCTGGGGCCGTCCTGGTYCCGGGCGTTCACATCTACTCCTCTCTGCAGCAGCATGGCAACCACACCGGCATGGCCCCTCTGGGCTGCCACACGCAGCAGGGTCTGACCAATAGGGTCTTCCAGGCTCAGGCCACTGCCCTGGGTGACACAAGGACACATGACCCCCAAGAGAGGGCCAGGGAGCAGGCAGAGCACAGGAGGGGAAGGGCAGCTCTGGGCACCAGCACGGGTGGTCAGCAAGGCCACTGTGCCCGCCCCTGCGCCACCACCAGGCCTCACTGCTGGCCGCCAGGCGGGCAGGCAGGGTTCAGTGAGTCAGGTGAGGCCAAGCAAAGTCACTCTGCCGCAGGGGYCAGCCCCTGCCCACAGGCCCAGGTGGCAGCTGCTGGTCCAGGGCAGAAGCAGCTCACCAGTTCCTCAAGTGCTTGCAGGGCCTCTAGGTCCCCAGAGTGAGCTGCAGCAAGGGCCAGGCTGGGCATCAGAGCATCCCGCAGAGCTTCAGCCTCCTGGGAGAGGACGGAATCACCAGAGCCTCATGCCTTATTCTGGGGTCTGTACACAGGTGGAGCTGGTGTCCCCAGTGCTGTGTGAGCCTGCCTCCCCCATGCAGTGTGCAGTAGGTCCCACCCCACAGGGGAAAGAGCTGGAATGGCCACACTGAAGGCCCTGGGCTCCCATCTCACTATTAGACACAGAGGCCACCTTGCCCCCACTTCCTGGGAATAAAGTCAGGAGGAAGCCACCACCAGCCTCCTTTCTTGCCCCATGTGTGATTGGGGCCTGCCACCCACCCTCCAAGGTGTGTGTCCTCGCCTGCCCCCACTGCTGTCAGGGACAGAATAATAAGTCATCTCAAGAAAGAGCAGAAGTATGCGGGCCCCTCCCGGAAAAGGACCCTGTTCCCACATTGCACATTCCTGGAAGGGCCCCGTCCTCCAAGGGCTCCCAGCTGCATCCAGTCTGTGGGACACAGAAGACCCAGCCCCAGAGGTGCCGCCTCATCCAATGCCCACGGCCCGGCCTGATCACAAAGCACTTAAGGCCCCCGCACAGCCACCCTAATAACAGGCCACACAGCCCAGGCCTTTTCATCTGACCATGGCTCGCCCACAGCAAAGCCACGGGAGGTTGGGAGGTCGGCTGCACCTGCATGGGTGGGGTCCAAGCCACTGTGCCTGGCCCTAAGCTGCACCCACTGCTGGCAGGCCAGCAGACCCCAGCCCCAAAGTCAGGCTGGCAGGGTGAGGGAGGTCCAGCTTGAGCCCCCAGGAAGGTGGCAGCAGCGAACACCAGCAGGCTCACCAGGGCAGCTCTGCCCAGGGAAAGGAGCCCCTCAGGCCGAGGCAGCCCAGGGAAGCAGTGCTCTGCTCTGCCGGGCTCCCACACCAGGCCTGGTGCTGGGCCCAGAGGCCAGGTGGGCAGGTGGACGTGTTGGGGCAGGGTCCCTAGCTGACCTCCCCTTCCTGGGTCTAACACCCAGGCTAAAAAGGGGGAGGGGAGCTGGAGGTTGGAACGCGTCTCCAGGTAGAGGTGAGAGACCCCAGCAGGCACCTACCCTCTGCCCCCAGGACAAGCAGCCCTTCACTCCACTCAGGTGCTCCCAGCTCCCAGGTAGCCCCAGCCCTGAGACCCAGTGCTGATGTTCCCTGGCCATGTGTCTGCATGTCTGCGAGCTGGGAGGTCCCTTCCTGAATTCTGCTCCACGGACCCCTATAAATCCTGCCCACTATGAGCCCACAGATCCCTGGGCCTTGAACCCTGGCCTGAGCCAGCTCCTGGGCTGGAGAGCAGCTGTAATGGCTGGTGTCTGGCAGGTCCTGGGTAGGGGGTATCCCAGGGTGTCTCAAGCCCCCTGCTGCTGCCACCTGCACCAGGCAGTACCTGGCTGATGCTCAGACGGAGGAGCCAGGACACCGCGCGGCTCAGGGTGCTGCCCTGAAGTGAGGACCAGCACTCATCCACTGCAGGCAGCGTCATCTCTCCCCGAAGGTCCTGGGCTAGCAGCTGCAAGAGGATCCAGGCCAGGGGCTCAACCAGGGTAGGACCAAGGCGCTCAGACCAGCCTCACAGGGCCTGAGGGGAGCCGCCCGAAACTCCACCACCCTGCTCCACCAGGGGCTTGAGCATGATTCTAGGGTCCCCACACAAGCCAGTCCCACAGCCCAGGGCCTTCTAAGGATCAATAAGGGCTAAAGCCCAAGGACCGGGGGTCGTCTGTGTGCAAGCCCCACTTGGAAAGGACAGGCGTGGGAGAGGATGTCCGAGGACAGTTGGGATGGCTTCATCCTGAGCTGGCATCCAAGACCCCCAGAGTAGTTGGAGGAAGGGATGCCTGGGCCGGGGCTGGACCGGCTGTGCTGAGCTCCAGAGCTGGCCCTTCCCTTCCACAGGGATCCCCACATCCCTGCCCTACCAAACCATGCACATGTCCACCCAGTCAGACCCTGTTCTTCTGGAGTCCCCTGGCCCGCCCTCAGGAGCCGTGTGTGTCCTCAARCCTGTGCCCCACAGCCCAAAGGACACACACACCTTCTTCCTGACATCCAGGCTCAGCCCTGGTTGGCCCAGCACATAGGACAGCTTGGCCAGGGCAGCCTCAGACGTCATGTCGAAGCCGGAGATGACGCCGGCTCCTGCTAAGGCCTGCAAAGAAGGGGCACAGGGGCCAGAAGGGGCGGCTCACCTCGGCCCCTGCCCTACGGCTTCCGTGCTCCTTCCCAGAACCTCCCCAACATGGGGGTGGTCAGGGCCCAGCCTGCGGTACCCCCAGGCTCACCCCTCCTCCTCTAACCCTCATTTTCCCAACCCCTACCGTGCCAGAGGCATAGTCTGAGGTCACAGTGCCCTGAAGACAGTGGGTACAGTTGACAATGACCAGGCCACGCTCAGCTGCCGCCTGCAGCTCTTGTAGCAGGTCCGGCTTGGTGGGCCCATTTCCTGAACCGAAGGTCTCCATGACCACACCCTTCAGAGGGGGCTGCAGAAAGGCCCGAACCTGGGGGCAGCAGGGCAGGGGTGCATGGTGAGGGTCTTTGCTTTCTGCTCCAGCAGGGGGGACCCACAAGGCTTGCCCCAGGCCCTGCACCATGCCCAGGGTGGTACTGCTCTGAGCAGGCCTGTGTGGTAGCCCTGGGGAAATCTGGGAGGGCTGTCCCTGCCATGTCTCCCAAAGGGAAAACACGTCCACAGTATGTGGGGCCGAAAGGGCAGGACTGGACACTGTGGGAACGTGCTGGGAGGTGGCAGACCTCCACCAGGAGGCCCGGGCGGCGCTTGGGAGCTGGTCCTGGAGGACAGCAAGCTGCGCTAATACACACTCAAGGCTCCCTGGGACCCGCCCACATCCCACTGGCTGGAATGCTCCACTCAGGCCACAGAGCACAGGGCAGGGCCCCCATCAGCAGCTTAGAAAACAGGACAGGGAGGCACTGTGGCCACCATAAGGACAGCCGGTAGCTGAGAAGCCAGCAGCAGAAGCAGACAAAAGACCACCAAAAAGAAGTGACAGGAAGGAGCAGGGAGTTCTGGGGCTACCCCAGTCAGCCTCAGAGGGGCTCTGTGTCCCTGGGCGTCCTCCAGTATCCACAGGCAAGACCACTAATAAGGTGAGCAGGTCCCCAAGCCTCAGCTGAGACAGCAGGGAGGATCCACAGCGTGGTGCCCTTGTGTGTCAGACTCCAGCCCAGGAAGGCCGCCTCCAAGCTGATGGCCAGAGGACGTCCCCAGGGTTAGCTCGTTGCTCATGCGTGGGCCTGAGAAGGGCCAGGGCAACAGGAAGCAGGGCAAAGCAAGGGGGCCACACTGCAGTGCCTCCGTTCCAAGTGGGGTCTGCACCAACCAGCACGGGCACTGGGGAGCCGGGGGGCAGAGAGCACCCTGGGCATCAGGTGAGGCCCCTGGGGGTGTGGGAGCCAGGGGTCACTGGGGCCGCACCCCTACCAGGGAGGCAGGAATGCCGGGGAAGAGGCGCAGCAGGCCCACGTCTCGCTCCATGCGGCTGCACACCACCAGCCGGTCCTTGCTGGCCTTCCGCACCAGCTCCCTGTTGACTGTGAAGACAGAGGGCTGAGGGGGCAGGCAGGGTGACCTCTCTAGTGTCCTCTGAGCCTAGGCCCCCCTGCCCCACCTCCCCTCCAGGCCCACCCTCCAGTCCTGGGCTGATGATGGCAACAGTGGTAACCCAGGTGACACAGGTGACCGGGCTGGAGAGGAAACATGGCAGGGAGCCCTAGCTGAGCCTCACAGGCAGCAGAGGTATCTAGGGGGGCGACGGCGCCCGGGCAGGACCAACATGGCACACAGCTGGGGCAGTGTCCTCTGGGCAGCAGCTGCCCTTGGTACCCACCTGCTGTGCTCACTGCCTACCCCACCAACCAGTGAATGACCCCTCATCCTCGGGGAAGGAGCCTCTGTCTCTTTGCCCCCAAATCCTGGAGGAGTGGTGTGTGCCTGTCACTCCCACCCCTCGCCCAGGGAGGGCGACGTGGAACCCCAGGCCTGCGGAAAGTGGGGGGCAGGAACTCAGGGTCAGCACGCCTTGAATCCCCCCAGGGTCAGCCTGTACACAAGTCTGAAGGCCACCTCTCTGCCAGGCCCCCAGCAATGACTGCCAGCAGAGGTCTGGAGCCCGTGGCTCATGTGGCCTCCAGCCAGCAGAGTGGGACACGGGGGACTCCCCTATGCTAAAGGGTGCCAGGACCCCAAGCTCAGCCCCCCACCTCCCTGTACCTCACTGGGGTGGGAGCCCCTGTGCCTCCTGCCATTTTTTCCAGTGTTATTCACATATGATCATGAACAGAACATTCTGGACTTGCACATGGAGGTGGGGCGAGGGGAGGGCGGTGAGTTTTCCACCCCCCCCCCCCCCGTGGCAGAGGCCATGGGCCCCTCCATGCCCACCATGGTAGGAGACATTCTTCGCCTTAGGATTGTGTGTCTGCTGAGCAGGCAGAACAGGTGGGGAGGGGGCTGCTGCCTCCCAGAGCGTAAGTGAAGAGTCCAGGGAGTCCTGGCCTGGGGTACAGAGCAGGGTAGGCCCTGGCCCTGCCCCTCCCCCTCCCCAGGGGCCCAGCAGCCACACCCTGGGCACTTGCTGAAGTTTCCCAACGCTGGGTGTCAGAACCGGCCCAGCAGCCTGACATCAGCCAGGGCAGGCAGTGCCGTTTCCCACCCCTGGCACATACGGGAGCAGTGGAAGATGGGCAGGGGCCTGGGGCTGGGGCAGGAGGTGGCCTCGGCTCTGTGCTGGGGTTGCTGCGGTTGGTCTGGGACTGAGACCCCTGAGTCCCATGTGGGGCAGAGGCCCTGAATCCAGAGTGAAGGCCCCTCTGCCCACGGAGAAGCTCCAGTCCTGGGCCCTGGAGATATGACTCCACCGGGTGGAGAGTGACCTGCAGGGCAGCACCCACACCTTCACCCGCTCCTCCTTCTCAGCTGCAGGGGTGGTGCCACCACCCAGCTCCTGTGCTGTCACCTCCAGGCAGCCTTCTGGACTGCTCCGACCCTGGGGAGCATGGACCCCTGCCCAGGCCCGGGAGTCCTGGGTGAGCAGGAAGCATGTTAGACACCGACAAACTTCCGGCCCTGTGCTCTCTGGAAGGTGCCGGGATGGCAGCAGGGGAGTGGGTGGGGTCAGAGCTCCCAAATGGTCAACAGGACCCAGGGCTGAGGCCCCAGAACTCCTGCCATATCTCTGGGGAACACTGGGTGGTCAAGGTCCTGGCTGCCCCCAGCCCATCCCTCTCTCAGGGGGCAACTGCTCCTTCCTAAAGTGGGGTTTGGGGATCAGCACCTGCTATACCAGGAGGTCCCCCAGAACAGCTCTCTCCAGGGCCCAGAAACACCCTGTGCCCAACCCACAGGCTGGCAGTGGCCCAGGCAGAAGCACAGCGTGGGCAAGGGACACTGCCACCCTCCAAGAGGGCTGGGACACTAATAGTCACGTAGTCAAACAGGAACAGCTGCTTTGCTTCTAGAGAGGCAGCCCCGCCTGGGGAACCCAGCCCTGGGCAAGGTCCCAAGACCCCAGTGTTCCCCAAAGGAAGGCCAGCTCTGCTGGACAGGTCCAGAAGAGATCTCTCTAGGACAGACCCCTGAGGCAGGACCCCATAGACAGTAGGGTGGGGACACAGGCCCCAGGGCCTGGGCCCACACCTGCCCTAGAGGGGCAAGAGCCAGAGAGAGGCAGGAGAAGGTGGCCCCACGTCCAGGAAAGTGGAGACCCCTTAGGAGACTAGACCTCTCAGGCGGAAAGACGGTGGTCCTGAAGTGACTTCCCCTTGGGCCATTACAGTGACCCTGAGTCTCCAGTATGGCCTGACCAGAGTGCCAGCCTGACACCCAGGGCAAGGAGAGGCTGGTGGGGCCTCCCCTGGGGAAGCCCAGGACCAACTTAGAACATCTGTTGGGCCCATAAGGACAGCCCGTGGGCCCAGAGGACAGAGGACTCCCCAAAACTCCTGGGGACCAGACATACCACAGGGGCCCAAGTCTTGAGGAGGGCTGAGCTGTGTGGCAGAGCCATAGACAGCCACCAGAGAAAACTCCTGAGTTTGTGGCCACATGGGCAGGGAGATCCCCAACCTCTCGAGCCCCCAGCTCCTAACATGTGGTGGTCTGTTGAGGCCTCCCACCTCCTTGGCACGTGGCCCCATGGCCCACCCTCTCCAAGCAGCCCTCTGGCTTTGCCGTAGCTCAGGGCAAAACCAAGCACTGTGCCCTCTGCCAGTTCAGGGAGCCCTCGCCAAAGCCCAGCATAGCCTCCCCACAGCAGCCCACACAACCCCCGTCCAGGGAGCGCTGCGGCCAGAGGCCCTGCTCACTTGTGATGTCCACACCCACCGTAGCTAGTGGGGGCAGGTTCGGGGAGCAGAAGGCTGCAAACCTCCGATTGTCCACCTTCGTTGCCCGATTGCCCCGAAACAGTTGATTCTGGAAGAACAGGCATACCTGCAGGACAGAGAGGCAGCAGCTCGGAGCTGGGGGGACTGTCTCCTCCCAGCGCTCCACATCACACTGCCATCCGCAGGGATGCTCAGACCTGGGTGCCAGCAGAGACCTGCCCAGGAGCAACCTCTGCAGATGGCTGCTCCCCTCAGGCCTCTTCCTGCCCCACCAACTACCCATGGGAAACAGCAAGGCTGCAGGGCCGGGCAGCATGCGCAGAAGGTGAGCAGGGGCTCCAGCTGGCTTCTCCCCCAGGAATGCAGCCCACAGGGGCACGGGGCACAGGGACTCCAGAGACCCCTTCCAGGGCGCACAGGGAGCTGCCCCGCCTCTGAGCTGTCCCCAAGGAGGGGCTGGACCAGAGTGGGCAGAAAGATGGGCCTGGAGATGCTAAACTGTGGAAAGGCCCTACYTCTAACCCCACCTGCCCGGGGAACGGCTCAACAAAGGCAGCTCCTCATCCTGGCCCCAGAGGGACAGGGAAGCCTGCAGTCCTAACACTGTGGGACGGGAGAGGTGGCCACCTGGGAAAGGGACGGACTCCCGAGCTACGCGGGGAGCCCTCTGTTCGTGGGAACCCACACACACATCTGCAGCACAAGAATGAATGCTTGTGACAAAGACTGGAAGCACACATGCCAGGATGATGACACTAATGTCTCCGAATAGTGACTCTGGGTGATGGTCTCCTCCAAGGCTCATGACTGTGTTTCTTGGAACATGAGGTAAACCTTTAGAAACCCACCCGGCCCCTGGCCTGCAGGTGCCKTGAGAGCCGCACCACAAGCCCCTCTCTGTGCTCCTCAGAGCTCCGGGGCTGCATCACCCACTGTCCCACCTTTGACCTAGGCAACACCACACCAGGCCAGGCAGGTACCTCTGGGATGATGTACTGGCCAGCCATGAGCAGGGCCCCCAGTAGGTTCTCCCGGCCATCGTTCCACAGTGCATGGATGGGCACCTGGGGAGAGCCACGGGTTGGGGCTGAGTCTCAGGAAGCACAGGGGCCACCTGGTCCCCCTCCCCAGTCAAAGTCCTCCAGCCTAGGGGAAGGAGAAGAGTGGGCAGGTGTGGGCTGGGGGCAGGGACCTCTGGAGAGGAGCAGCCCATTCCATGTCCACCAGCAGTGGTTCCTGCTACAGTGCCAGCCCAAGCCTAGGCCTTGCTCCACATAGATCAGATGCCCAGCGGGTAGGGGACACTACAGCTCCTGAGGACACTACAGCTCCTTGCTACAATAGGAGCCATGGGTGGGAAGGAGCCAAGGGTGGTGCCCTGGCACCGTCCAGCTCATCCTTGAGCTGCCAGAGTCTACTGTGGACAGTTCCTGGGGGACTCTGAGCAGTGCCCAGCTCCTCACCACTCCTGACCAGTAGGTGGGCAGGACTGTTTTGGGGTGTGCAGAGGCCAAGGTCTGCTGGGGTGTGGTCATCTGGGAGTGGTCAGCACAGGGCCTTTGGAGGGAGAGACCACTGGCCCAGGGGAGGTATGGCTGTGGGTGAGCCCTACCCAGAACCTCAGTTTGCCCTCCAGTACTCCAGGGACATAGATGCCTCACGACAGGCTGGTGTGAGCCTGAAGAACATGCTGGGTGCTCCTGGGGCGGCAGTGCTCTCCAACCCTCCACACCCCCAGAGCTGCATGGCACTCACCCCCCTGGTCTAGGGAGCAGCTAGGCAGTTGGCCCAAGTCCCATCTGCCTAACAGGGATCCAAGCTAGGGACATGGTTGTGGAAAGGAGCCAGACAAGAGCAGAAGATGCCCAGCAGCCAGCAGGTGTGCTCAGTGGTCTGGGGCCTTCCACACAGGGTGCCAGTACCCCAGGAAGCCTCCGCACAGCCAGGGAGACCAAGCTGGGGGATGGCGGAGTCACCTCAATGGCACCTGGCAGCCCTGGCAAGAGGGTCTCCCTAGAGCTTCATCAGGTTCTGCTGACAGAGACATAGGGACTGGCTCCTAGCCCAGGCCTCAGCCTCCCAACAGGGACGGATGCTGAGGGGCTTGGCTAGGATTGGCCCCAAGAGCCACTGGGGCTCCCTCTTATGAAGCCATCTAAAGACAACAGGGACCCCCAAGTCAGTGTCTAGCAGGCCCCAATGGAGGTGCAGACCTCCTCTGTTCCCTGACCTCAAATATAACCATTTTCCAGAACATTCCATCAGCCTTGGCTTTGGCGGGGGTGTGCTAGCTGAGGGTAACAGAGGAGGGGGCACCATATGTTGGGTCCATGGTAGCAAGAAGGAAGAGAAGAGCAAAGGCTGGGAGTGGCCTGTCCTTGGAGTGGCTACCATGCTGAGTGGACAGCAGACTTGAAGCCCATTAGCAAAAAGAGAAAAGGCTTCATTGAGGGCAGAGCTGTTGGGGGTGGGCTCTGGGTGCTCCTGAAGCCTCACAGCTGGACAAAATCACCAGCAGGCCATGGACCTCCAGCCACAGGGACTGCTGAGATGGGCCCCCGGAGACAGAGCAGAAATAAATGGACCATGAACGAGGCACATAGGAGCAATCCAGGGAGCTGAGCAAGAATTCTGGGTTCTAGCGGGGCCTTGCTCTGTGGCCTCAGGAGGCCTGGGCATAGCAGGACCTCAGGCCCTAGGTTACCTGGGCACCAGTGAGAATGATGGGCTTCTGCAGGTTCTCCAGCACGAAGGAGAGCACAGAGGCAGCAAAGGCCATGGTGTCAGTGCCGTGGATGACCACGAAGCCATGGTACTGGTCATAGTGTCTCTGTGGGGGGAGCAAGCTCAGGGCAGGTCCAGGCCTTCCCCTGTCAGCCCTGCTCCTGGGAACAGGTGCTCAGGTCAGGGCGGCAGCCTGTCCCCTTCAACCTGGGAAAGAAAGGAAAGGGCCCAGAGGCAGGAAGGACTCAGGGAGATACCAGATGACCACCCCCTGCAGGCCCAGAGGGCCTTTCTGGAAGGCCAGCCCTGGCCTGGGCCCTGGCTTGTGGCTTGCCTCAGAGCATGGAAGAATGTGGGTCCTAGGGAGCGCTGGACTTTCCCTGGACTCCAGTTAGCATCTCCCCAGGCAGGGCAACCTCAGAACTGGGCTCCCTAATCCTGAGTGCTGGCTGAGGGCCCCCTGCCTCCAGGGCCACAGTGGACCTTGCTGCTTAGAGAGAGTCAGCATGAGCACAAACAACCAACACAAGGCCCACCCGTCCCTGGGAGCCAGCAGGTGGTTGCGAGGAGCGGACCAGTTAGGCAGGCAGGAGGCTGGTGGGCAAACGTCCAGGGAGGGCCTTCTAGGCTTAGCAAAGGCCAGAAGCCCTCCCAAGCACACTGGCCACTCAGCAGGAGCAAACTGGCCACGAGGGGATGCCCTGCAGAGGGCAACTGCCCAGGGTGCGGCTGCCAGGAGCACAGCTCTGGCCACACAGGGCCCTCCTGACCCACTAAACAGGAAACCAGGCCAGCCTAGGGATTGCAGAGCAGCTGGGAGTGGGGCGGGCGCCCTCTGCTGGCCAGGCCAGGCTACAGGACTAGGAGGCCTTCCTGAGGCTGTGGGGTGCAGAACCTCGAAGGACCACAGGGCACCATCTGGACCTCAGCCCAAATCAGRCCTGTCCCCAAGGGTGCTGCAGCCACAAACAAGGAACACGGTCTGGACCTCCACAACCTAGACCAGACGTACCCATTGGCAGCCCCTTTCCTGGAATGGRACAGACCCAGGGCCACATACTATACTGAGCAGCTCGCAATTGGTGGGGGTCAGGGTCCTATTGTGCTTCAGATAGAAGGAAACAAGCGTGTGACCCAAGTGACCCCACACAGGGGACCATGGGCTTCTTACGGGAGGCAGGTGAGAATAGGGACTGGTGGGATGGCAAGACCCCAACCCAGGGAGCCCAGGACGTCTTTGTGCCAGGAACTGAGGCTGCGATGATGGGGAAGAACAGACCTGGGTTGTGACAGTGTGGGGTTGTTCTGGCCTCAACTCCCTCGCCAAGAACATGGACATGGCCTCCATTGCAGTGGAGTGTTCTGCGAGAACCTGTCCCACTCCGGGGACTGCCATTCCCGGGTACTGCCCGTCTCAGGCTGGGCCTGCCTACTCCACCATACAGCTCCTGTCCTTACCTGCAGGTGGGCTCTGCCCACCCCCAGCCCCGTTGGCACTCCCTACCTCTATGGTCTGGGCGATCTGAACCCACTCGGTGATTGTCATGTCACTGGAGTCGAAGAGGGGCTGGCACTCCAGCACGGTGTAGATGATCCTCTGGTCCGAGCCGGCAGGGCTGCAGGAAGCAGAACTCCAGCTCCCACTCCGCCCCTCTGGATCCTGACCTGCTCTGCTCTCCTCTGGCCTGGCACTGGCCCCTGCACCCAGCGACATCTGTCCGCGGGCTCTGCATATTGCTAAGGTCCCAGCGACCTGAGTACAGGGTGCAACCTTCCTTCCATCTGGAGTCCCCAGAGGAGGCAAGGATGTGGCCCAGGACAGGATGCCCCCAGCAGGATCACCTTCCCATACCAGCTCGGAGAGGCAGGCTGGGATCAGCCCACCAGCAGCCAGAGTCCCTGCTGGGAGAGTCGCGCTGAGGGAGACCAGCCACCACAGGGAACTCCCAGCTCAGCCTTCCAGCCACAGAGGGCTCCAGGCAGTCRGACTGGAGCCAGGAATAGAAGGACTGCCACGCCCGGGAGGGAGAAGTCACTGGGCCAGCCATGAGACAGGGGTGCCCCCATGCTCAGTAACCCAGTGGGCTGAGCAGGCACCAGGAGCAGGCTGGGGAAGGTGGCTCCGTGAGCCCAGGGCCCAGGCTCTCCTGGAAGGCAGCCCGGGCAATTGTGAAGCCCGCAAAGCAAGGCCAAAGACGCCTCGTGCAAATGGCAGGTCACTGCTGGGGAAACCAGAGCCTGCTCCCTGGCCCCCGACAGGCACGTCCAGGCTCAGGGCCGCCCTCCCTGTCCCCCGGAGGACCCATACTCACGGCAGCACCAGCGTGTCGTTGGGGAGACTGCAGACCTGCGCGTGCTCCTGGTCATGGAACATGGGCAGCGCCCTCAGGATGGTGGCCAGGCCTCCCCCTGGGACAAGCACTGCAGGTGGAGGCCAGGCAGAGTGGGGTCAGGGCTGGCGTTGCAAACAGCCCTCAGCCCACACCCTCCCCTCCTGAGTGCCAGGCCCTGGGCAGGATCAGAGGGCAGGACCAGGGTTGGCCCAGGAGGCCAGGAGGACCCCGACATAGCTGCCACTAGAAACCTTGGGAGCATGGCAGCTGGCAGCTGGAGCCAATGCTGATTCCTTCTTTGGAACCCAGCCCCAGGGCCTCTGCTGCCACTCTTCCCAGGTCCTATCTCTGCTCATACTCCACTGAAAATGTATCCACTGACCCCCACTGAGCTAAGCCCTCTCCCAAGGCAGCCATGTGTGCCCACCCAGGTCTACCCCACCTCCACGAATGCCCAGGATGCTTTGCTGGTGCTGCCTCAAAGCCCTGCCCCAGCCCCACTTCTCACCCAGCAGGTGCTCTGAGGCCCAGCCCAGAGTATCACCTCCAGGAAGCCCTCCTCAATGCCAGGTAGTGTGCCCTTCCCACAGGCTGCCCTGCTGGTCCTCACGCTCCCTCAGGGCATGCACTGTGTGAYTCCTCAGGCTCCAGCTTCCAGCCTAGTCCCTGCCCCGTCCAGTGAATGGGAGAGCCTGGCACACAGGAGGTGCCCAACAGGTAGGCCCCACCAGCAGCCATCCCTGCCAGCAGCTTCTGCCTCTCAGAAATGTGCACCTAAGGTGGCAACACTGTGCAGAAACGGCATCCTGTCCTACAAGGTCACAGGTATGTTTTCTGAAAACAAAGGCTCCTGGCCAGTGCCCCGAGCTGCTAGCCCTGTGTCCTTGGGCAAGTGAGCTAGCCTCTCTGGGCACATTCACTCCTTATCACAGTCTGTGAGCCTCCCATGTACCTGGGCACTGGGACACGTTGGCAAGGACAACAGGGTCCTCCAGAGAAGCCTCCTTGACTGAGATGTGAGGTCAGGAGGAATCGTGTTCCTGGGCATCACCTGGTCCCTGCTCTTACCCTCAGGTGGCTGGACAATTCCCTGTTGCTAATCACACATTGCCACAAACAGGGTGCCTTAAACAGCCTCCATATTATCTCCCAGCTCTGGGGGTGAGAAGCCAGGCAAGCTCAGGCATCAGCAGGGCTGTGCTCCCTGTTGGAAGCTCTGGGGAAGACACTCGGGACCTGGTGGAACTCCATCCCATGTGAGGGACAGCAGAAGTGCTGCCTCCCTGGGGCTCATTCGCAGCGCACTCCCCGCTGTGGCCCTGCGTTCCGTCTCCAAAACCAGGCCTCTCTTTGGCCTCATCCCCCTGGCTGCCTCCTCCTTGGCCAAGGGAGGAATCCTCTGGCAAGGGCTGATGGGAACTGGCAGGCCCCCCAGACAGCCCCATTGCACCTCCCATCACAGAGTCAGGACCTTGATCACACCTGCTGTCCTTTTGCCATGGGAAGGTCCCCACTCACAGGTGGGGGGTGAGAATGTGATTCAGTCACATGGGACCTTGTGGGGGGACAAGGAGAAGGAGGAGCCCCCATCTCTAGCCCCTGGAATGGACAACAGGCCTGGGGTCAGTTGGCCCTGGCCTTCCTTCCATGTCCCACGCCCTGACCCTCCACTGCCTTCACAGAGTGCTCTTGGTCATTCATTCGCAGGAAGTGCTTCTGGCACCCACGGGGCACACAAGGAGAATGACTGGCACCCCAGCGTCCCCTTAAGCAGCTCACAATCCCACTGGTCTCACAGAGTGGAAGCCTTGCCAAGGTGTCAGGGTCAGGTGCCAGCCTCAGTGCCCCCTCCTCCGATCGCTGTGACACGGAGTGCCCAGCCTTTCACCCAGCTAGACCTGGCCCTCTCTCCCTCATATATAGCTCTGGCCACAGACACATGTCCCCTCCTCCCCCAGCAGCACCTCCCTCTTCCAGGCCCAGCGCTGCCAGCCTGTCACAAATGAGCAATGGACTCAACCAATCCACAGCGCCCCAGCTGGTGGCCAGGAGCCTGGCAGGCTTTGGAACTGGCGGCTGCTCCTCATCTGCCCCACCACAGCTTTCTCAGTCCATTCGCAGCTCCTGCCAAACCCCTGGCCCCAGCCCGGCCCCTCCCCGGCTCCCAGGCCCATCGGCCTGTGGGGTGTGTGGCGCCATCTTTCCCACTGGAGAGGAGCACTGGCATGGCTCCTCGCCCACTCGCTCTCCTGGCCTGGCCCGCAGCCCTGCAAGCCCCGGGCAAACCAGCCGAGGTGTGGCTGCTTGCGAAACGTCACGTGAACAAGCCTAGCAAACAGATGTGGAAACTGCGGCCCGTGAGTTCATCAGCCCTGCTGACGTCCGGAGACACCTCAGGTGTAACCAGGATGTGGCCTGCCGCCACATTCAGGGGACACTCTGGCCACCAGCACTGGGGCTCAGTGTCCCTGTCCATGTGTGGTGGGGTTGAAAATGAATCCTATGAATGTCCTAATCCCAGGGCCTATGGATGTCATCTTCTGTGACAAAGTCTGCAGGTTCCATTATATCAAGGATCTAGAGAGATGATCCTGGATATTTCAGGTGGGCCCTAAATGCCACTTCAGGCGTCCTCATAAGAGGGAGGCAGAGGGGGACCAGACCTACACGGAGCAGGCTGTGTGCTGGTGGGGAGATGGGAGACGCTGGCCTAGAACACAGGAGGGATGTGGCCCCCAGCAGAGGACCCCAGCCACCAGATGGTGGGGAGGCCGGAAGCTCCTCCCTGGAGCCTCAGGAAGAAGTACAACCCGGCTGGTGCCTCAGCCCGGCCTCTGAAACAACTCAGTCTCTCCCCTCCAGAGCAGAGGCAGTGGACTCAGGGGCTTTTAGCCACTTGGCTTGTGGTAACTCGTCACAGCACCCACAGGAACTAAGGCATCCCCTCTGACGTCTGGAGACACCCCAGGTGTGACCAGGATGTGGCCATCTCCTGTCATGGCACCATCCCGTGGTCCCATGGGGTGCACCATGATGACATCCACAGTGGGGAAGGTGAAGCAGAGGACACCTGGCATGGGTTGGTGGGAAATGCTCACAAACAGCAAGGCACCTCTGTCCACAGCAGGGCTCCTCCAGCAGGAGGGGGCACACACAGGCCCTGGTGTCCCCACTCAGAGGGCACGTGGGTATCACAGGACAAAGGGAAGACCTTACAGCCTTTCTCTCCAGGCAAATTCTGCAAATGCACCCTTATGCTCTGAGAGCCAGAACAGGCTGCCAGGAAGCACCGTGGAAAGGAGCCCGGAAGGCAGGCCTGGGGCTTACTGGGCCACGCTGGTCTCTGCATTCCAGGGAATCCCTTCTGACCTGTAAGTCGCTGATTTCCTTACCACTCTAAGTCAGTATCGCTCTCACCCCCAACTCGGACTTCATAAATCTCATTGCTCTTCTTGCTGAGGGTCTCCCAAGAGTGTCAGGCCTGGGCAGCCTGGGTCCTGCCCCTGCTGGCCCTTCCTGTATGGCAGGCACGYGACTGACCTCACCAGAATCTCTGGGCTCCTTCCCCACATGTTCAAGTGGGGATGGGGTTTGCTCCCAGGGCAGTGGGCCTGCTCAACCACCCAAATGTGAACTGGAACACACGCAGCCACCAATGGGAGGGAGGTCCAGGCCGTGGCTACAGATGTCATGCTGTGGTGACCATGAAGCCGTGGGCATTGCCCCAAGGCTCAGTTGCGGCCAAAGGTGGACACAGGGCAGGATGCCACTTATAGGGATGCAGCCTTGGACCACTGTTCCCTGGAGCTTGGCTGTCCCCCTGTGTCCACAAGGAGCCAGCTCCCAAGTGCAGCAGGTAAAAGGTGCCACAGCTGGACATGGGAGCCTCTGGGTTCCCCTGTGGCCTCTGATGCAGGTTGGGCCGAGGCTAGGGTTACTGGACTATAAAGCCTCTTGGCTAAACTATGAACAGAACTAGATACAGGGTGAGCGCTGTACCATCACCTCTGCCCTCCCCGAACTCTGGCAGGGCTGGGGAGCGTGCTCTGCCCTGCAGGACATTGTGTACACTAGGCACAGAAGCTGTTACAACAGCAACAACCCAAACAGCTTGGCTGTGGCCGTTCTCCCACTCCCACCCATGCCCTTCGTGAGGCCAGGGCCCAGGTCAGCAGGGCCGAGCAAGTTAATCATTGGTGCTTGTGGGGCCGCGACTCCAGGGCAGGCAGGAAGGCAGCTACCAGTTCAACCCCTTCCTCGCGGATCAGAAAAGGCTGGGGCTTGCCTGAGGCCTTCTGCCCAGAGCCCCTCCAACTGTCCCCACCTCCCTGGCCTTGTGAGTGCTACCTCATTCCTGGAAGTCTTTCTACCTCATAAACATTTTTAGGCAAAAAAGCCAAGGTGCCCAGACACATCTGTATGTCCCTGAGGCCCAGAGTCCAGGGCCTGCTGCAGTGCCCTCTAGGGGTCACCAGGGGCCAGACTTCACTCTCTTCCTCCTCCTCTGGGGCGAAACTCCCTAAAGCCTTTCTGAAGGAGAGTCACAGCAGCAGACCCTGGGGCTGCCAGAAAGGGGGGGGGGTCCTTTCTGGAAGTGGCTGGTGTGGGGACCAGAGCCCTTACCGCAGTCAGAACTTCCCTGCCACCTGCCTGCATCTTACCAGGGCTCCAGAACCTGGTTCAGGCAGGACGGGCCACTGCTCTGAGCTTGCCAGGTGGGGTGGGCCCCCCAGGAAGGGGTTTAGAGCATGGGTATGTATCTGCTGGTCCCCCTTTATCACCAGGCCTTGAGGATCCCAGGGCCCAGAGCTCCTGGGAATCTTAACAGACTTTTACCTGCCTGAAAATCGACACCTGCTATACCCCATCTTTCGGGCTTCAAAGTCTGGTTCACCTCCAGAAGTGTGGCTTCATACCTCCTGCAGAAATGTAGCCTGCTCCTGGGAACAAGCCCATGAGGCTGCCAGATGGGCACAGGGAAGAGGGTTCCTTCAGGACTGTGCCTCAGCTTGAACCACAGGATAACCATGTGTTGAGCTCCAGAGAACGGGAACTGGCATGTGTGAAGCCTGGAGAGGCAGCACCAAGGCAGTGGACAGTCCACAGGGCCAGCCCTGCTGCCTCCTCTCTGCTCTAGCCCCTCTCACTGCAGCTCCTGGCCTGGCTTGTTCACACCCTGGCCCAGGGACTACTCCTCCCGCATCCTTCATGCCCTCAGAGGGACCCTCTCCAGCAGCCCCAATACAACTCGACCTGCGGCCCACTGGCAGAACCCAACCCTCCTGGGTCAACCTCCCATATGTGTGTCATGACTTTTTTTTTTGTACCGGGGATTGAATTCAGGGGCACTTAACCACTGAGGCACAATTCCAGCTCTTTTTTATATTTTATTTAGAGACAGGGTCTCACTGAGTTGCTTAGGGTCTTGCTAAATTGCTGAAGCTGGCTTTGAACTCACAATCCTCCTGCCTCAGCCTCCTGAGCCACTGGGATTACAAGTGTGCATCACCACACCCAGCTGAGTGTGTCATGACTTTTAATGTCAGCCTTGCTCTTAGTGCGAGTAGTGATCCCTGTCACTCCTTGTCCCTCAGTGGCATCTGCCAACCTGTGAACCATGTCCCTGGTGCCTGAGTCCCTGGGAAATAGGCTCAACTCATGTCTGTGTCCTGGGGCCTGACACAGGAGGGGCCTTCAGGGATGTCCATGTATTCTGCAGGGACAGAAGACTGAGAAGCAGCCCTTGGAGCCACTGGGAGAGGGACAGTGGCTTCTGAGTACCCACTCCAGTGGAAAGGGGTAACCAGGAGAGCGCTGAGTGCCCAACAGGCAGTATCAAGGTCTCATAGAGAAAGGCACTGAGTGCTGCCAGGTGTGTGGGCTGCACCTGAGCTGCAGGCATCAGAGTGGACCCTTTTCCAGGTAGGGGCCTGGAGCTGGCCCTGAGGGGCCGGTGATGAGGGAGGGCTGGAGCTGGGGAGGCAACAGAGGCTCCTTGGGGAGAGCGAAGCAGGGGGCAGGCCCAGGTGCTCTGAGGCTGCTGGGTGGTCCCAGCTCTGGGAGGGACACTCACAGGGGACACGCTGTGCCCCAGCTAGCGGTGGCAGCGAGGTCCTGCGGTATTTCCCTCTCTTTTCTCTCCAGGTGGCCGACCCTGGGCCTCCCGAGGCCTCTTGGAGCCGGAGCCCAGCCCCTACACACACATGCCGCACAGCTGAGCCCTCCACCCGCGACTTCTGCCAGGACCCTTGCGGGCGGGCAAGCAACCCGAGGCTCCCAGTCCAGGCTCAGGACTCAGGGTGCCCGGCCGCGACTCACCGCCTTGCTCGCTCCGCATGCCGATGGTGCCGCCGGTATAGACCGCCAGCACCCGCCGCTCGGGCCCCGCAGCGCGCGCCATGCTAGGACCGAGGGCACCGCTGGCGCTGGGGACAAGTGGGGGCGGCGGGATGGTGACCGCAGGGGCGGTGGTGGCGAGGGCATGTGACGGCTGGTGTGGCCTGGGGGCCGGGGCGGCGCTTTCCGGGGCGGGTCCTGAGCAGCCTTGGCTCCACTCCCGGCCCCAGGCTCTGGTGCAAACGCCGCCCGCCGCGAGCCTCGCGGACCCGAGCGCCCAGGACCTCCACAGCCCTGCTGCCCAGACGCCCCGGAGCTCCCCAAAGCCCGCACCTCCAACCTGGCCCTGGGAGGCTACTCAATGGCGAGCTCGGGAGCAGGCAGAGTCCGCCAGTGCACTGTGCAGGGCAAGAGCCAGGACACAGGCAAGTTCAGGGTGTCATGAGGTCTCCAGCAGCAGGCTAGGTCCCCTGATACAGAGAAACCTACCCTGGCTGTCTTGGGGATGGCAGGCTTGGACTGCTGAGAACAGAGCACAGCACTGTCTGCAGGAAAAGCCCCTCCAGCCTCTGATTCCCAGGGGAAATCATGGAAAGGATCCTGGGCTGGGGAGCCCAGTCCCATTAGCACTCTGTGCTTATTTGTTTGATCTACCCAAACATGTAAGGAAATACCACAGCCTGCAGGCTGCAGTGTGAGGTTCACCTGTATTCCCAGTGAGTAGGGAGGCTGAGGCAGGACGAATGTAAGTTGGAGGCCAGCCTCAGTAACTTAGTGGCGCTCTAAGCAACTTAACAAGACCCCTATTTTAAAATAAAATAAAAGGGCTGGTGATGTAGCTCAGTAGTAAAGCATCCCTGGGTTCAATCCCTAGTACCTAGAAAGAAAGAACAATTTCACAAGCTGGGTGGCTCCAGCATAAGGTAGTGTTTCACAGTGCTGGAGGTCAGAGGTCCTAGATCTCAGTGGCAGCAAGTCTGGTTCCTTCTGGCTCCTCTCCTTGGCTAGCAGATGGTGCCTCTCTGTGTCCATGTTTCCTCTTTTATTATGACAGCAGGCATGCTGGGTTAGGCCACTCTATGGGCCTGATTTTAATTTAATCATCTCTTAAAGACTATTTCCAAATCGTCACATTTAGAAGTTCAGGAGATTACTACAACACAGAAACTTGAGGTTCAACAAGTAGCAGCTACCCCCTGAACACCCAGGTTGGCCTCCGATGGCCCATCTTTGACTCTCCAGACCTGCCAGTGTCCGTCTCAGGCTTCGCCATTGGCCTCATTCTGACTGGAACACGTGCTCATTCTCCATTTGGGCAGGCAGCTTTGCATCCCTGTGATCAAATACCTGACGAGAACAACTTGGAGAAGGAAAAGTTTATTTTGGGCTCATGCTTTCAGAGATTCAGTTCATGCTCAGTCAACTCCTGTGGTCTGGGCCTGAGGGAGGCAGAATGTCAAGGCAGAAGGCCTGAAGGAGTAGCATTGCTCAGCTCAATACAGCTGGCAAGGAGGGGTGGAGGGAGGGTTGGAGGCCAGCCTCCGCAACTTAGTGATGCCCTAAGCAACTTAGCAAGACCCCTATTCCAAAATAAAATAAAAGGGGGAGGAGGAGGAGGGAGGGGGAGGGGGAGAGGGGGGAGAGGGGGAGAGGGGAGGGGAGGGTGAAGAGGGAGGGAGGAGAGCCAGGGACTGCAGTGGTCCAAGGGCACACCCCCAGGCTACTCCCTCAAGCCTAGCCCACCAGCCTACAGTCACCACCCTGAAGTCCCTTCATGCATTCCATGCATTCCATCAAGTGGGTCAATTCACCTATGAGGCCTGAGCCCACAGGATCCAATAGCTTACCTCTGAACACTGCTGCACTGATGTGTGAACTCTTCAGGGGACGCTTTATATCCCAACGACACCATCCTGTGACAGTCACAGTTTGCCTCCTGGGAATCTTCCTTAGCTACCCACTGTCATCACAAGCCTTAGGAAACCTGTGTGGGGCTGGGCAGGCCTTTGGTGACAGTCCCAGCTCTGGGCTCACCTGGCTCTGTCTGGCTCCAGCAACATGTGAGTCGTACCAGGCTCTGTAGTCCAGAACCGGGGCGGCCAACAGCTTCTCCTGTGGCACCAGCTGGTCCTCAGGCAGCTCTGCTGTTCCGCTTTGTGTAGCACGTGCACTTCCACCCCAGGTGTTCTCTGGTTGCCCAGCCATGCCGTGGGCATTCTCAGACCTGCCCTCCTGGTCTTTATCCTCTGGCAGGGAATCTCTGGCAGAAGAGAAATAGAAATGCTAGTGTCTGGTGGGCTCAGTGGCAGAGGAACAACAGGGAACAGTGACAGATGGAGGTATCTTCAACAGGGTGGCCTGAAGGGCCCTCTGAAGGACTGCATTCCTGCAGAGCCAGGGCAGTGCACAGGTTGCCAGGCAGAGAGGAACAGGTACCCAGGCCTGAGCCAGTACACACGGTGGTCAAGTCAGCAGGCAGGACATTTGCAGGGAGAGTTCACTGGCTAAGAAGCCATGGGGCCAGCCAGAGACTACGACTGTAACCCTGAGTGTGACTGTCAGTCCCTGGAGGACTTTGGCAAGTTTGTCACAACCTCTGACTGCTATGTGGAGAGAGACGGGGCAAAGTGCAAGGCTGACGCCTGTGTTAGTTAGCCTTCTGTAACTGTGACAAAATACTTGAAATAAATCAACTTAAAAGGCAAAAACATTGTTTTGCCTCGTGGTTTCAGAGTTTTCAGTCCATAATTGGCTGGCCCTGTTGCTTTGGCCCTGTGGCATAGTGGAGGAGGCTGTTCATCTCACCGTGGCCAGGAAGCAAAGAGAGAGGAAGGGGTGGCAGTCCCAAGTCCCCACTGAGGCACACCCCTGTGACCTAAATTCCTTCCATTAGCCCCCACCTCTTGAAGGTCCCACCACCTCCCTCCCGATAGTGCCAGAGGCTGAGAAGCAGACCTTCAATTCAGGGGACATTCCAGAGCTAAACTGTAACAGCTCCTAAGTCTTTGGCTAGAGCACCTGCTTGAGAGGACCAGGTTGAGAAAACCTGGGCAATAATTTGCTCCACTGGTTCTGCAGCCCTGTCTGCCTGGCTCCCTCTCCAACCCACTTTCTTGAGCTTGGAGTGCAGGCTCAGGAGCATGAAGTGCAGCCCCTAGTACAGCAGAAATACAAGAACTTGTGGAAACTGCAAAATGTCCAGGCCCTTCCCCAGGCCCCTGCCTCAGCGACGCCAGCAGGCCCAGGAGCGAATGCTCTGGCACCCTCTGGGTGATTCCGACACAGCTGTGAATCTGAGAACCAGGGGCCAGCAAGCTGTGGCTCTGGGGAAAACTGGCCCTCCTGTTTTGTAAAGAAAGTTTCATGGGAATAGCTGTGCCCGCTCCTTTGTGTTCTGGGTGGGGAAGGCCAGGTGATGGCCAGTGTAAAGGACCTGTGGCCACGTGGGTAGATAGTGGAGCGGGGCAGGGACACTCAACACACCCAGTGTATGTCTGCACAGGCAGCCTTTGTCCCTAGGGTGTCATCTCTGCCTCGAGGCTCAGGTCCCACTGGTCACCAGCAGTGGTCTGGTGGCCCTGCTCGACAGGGTCAGCCACAGAGACTCCATGAGGCGTGAGCTGTCCACACACACACAGCTCCCTTGTGGGAGTCCCTCGTGAGGTGCACACAGAGGTCCTCTGAGCTGTGGCTTCTTCAGGCAAGCTCTTCCTCCTGCTGTCCAGCTTCTGTAGAGCTCCGGGGGCCAGGCACGTTCACAGCATCTGTGCATGCCGATTCCGTCACCCTGTAGCCACTGTCTGGCAGGTGAGGGAGCTGAGGCCCACAGAGGGCTCCACAACACTGACCGGTGAGCTAGGCTCGGGGACCCACAGGGGTGCATAGTAGCTGTGGGGAGGCCAGGTTGCCGGGTCCTGGGCTGGGATTCCTGTGTCTGGAGGGGAAGCCAGGAGAGGTGGCAAGGAGGGAGGAGGAGGGCCAGGGGCCGATGGCCGTGCTGGGGACCCAGCAGAKGGAGGCTTAAGAACCCAAGTGGGGGAGAGGGCCTAGGGCCAGGCAGGGAGCAGAGAGTCTTGGGCTGAAGGCTGGCTGGCAAGGGCAAGAGGAGCCCCCAGGTCTGTGCAGAGAGACCTCCGTGCTGCACCTCAGCATCTTGGAAGTCACGGTGAGCACAGAACTGAGCAGTCAGGGCAGCTGCTCTTTAGACCTGGACTTGACCACCCACAAGAGGGAGGGCAGGCGGCTCTGGAGCAAGGCCACCTAGCCTGACCATGACCTCAGGGCACTCTGAGATGTCCCACAGCCTGGCAGTGCCATGGCCTCTGACACTAGCTTCCTCTGAAGGTGGGTGAGGCACTCTCTCTCCAACAAGAAAACCTCCAAAGATCATGACAACTGAGGGCCACTGTCCAGCAGCTCCGGCAGCAATAGGACACTGTCATTTCTGGGGGGAGCCGGAGGGGCACCACGACATCCACCATACCACTCAGCAGCAACCGGATGTCTTCTCAATAAATGGGGAAAGGGAAGCCTCACCCTCACCTCTCCAGCATGGCTGGAGCCTGAGAGGGGTCCCAGCCCAAAGGGAAGGCGAAAACCATGACATTTCCAGGAGAAAAGAGAAGATTTCAACCAGAGAAGACAAAGATTTCTTAGTTAGGAAACTCTGGTCACCAGCCATAAAACAAAATTTAAAAATCAACAAAACAGATTATTAAATCCCAAACTTCTGGCCAGGAATTGTGGCACATCCATAAGCCCAGAGATTTGGGAGGCTGTAAAACGGTAGTCTCTGGGGCCAGGAAAAGCAGGGAACAGGGCTGTCCCACGGGCACTGTCCCACGGGTGCGTGTGCAGATCCAGGTGTGCCAGATGGAAAGGATCTAGAAATACTTTTGCAACGACTAGAATACACTCAACGCTAGTGAACCACATGCCTAAAAATAGTTAAGGTGGTCAATTTTCCATTACACACAAAAAAGTGAATAGGCAAGGAGAAAATATCACAAAACACGTATCTGATGAAGAACTTGAATTCTGAATAACTCCATAATGAAAAGGCAATGAGCCCCCAAAATGG